GCTCTCAGGGTGTGTGTGCACGGTTGCTTCTTTGCGGGCATTTTTCATATTGAATCCGGCCAGCCACGCTCGACCGCACTAGGGGAGACCTGTGCTGATTTGGGAAGGAGACCCGGCCCCGTGGCAGCACTGCTGAGGTCACAAATCGCTCTCCAGGACGGCGTCCTCCTGAGAGAACCCCAAGAGGTAATGCTGACTCCCTGATTTCGTGGAATCTCTGGCTTGAGCCCCACCCACTGCCTCCCCCGTGGCGGCCCCTTGCTTTTCCCACATTGAGTTTGGCTGGTGTGTTAGTCGGTTTTCCGTTAACTTTAAAATACCTGAGAGGAGCCAGTTGGGAGGGAAAAAGCTTATTTTGGCTGACAGTCTGGAGGTGTCCGAGACCGGGCAGCCGCATCAGGGCACAGCGGCGGAGGGATAACCACGCGGGGAGACTCAGGGGCCGTGCTCGGCTACAGACCCACCTCTCACGAGAACCACTTGCCCAGAGCGAGCCTCCAGTGGCCTAAAGACCTCCCTCGAGGGCCGCCTCCCAGACACCCTAATTAGATCAAGTCGCTCCCCTTAAACCACCACGCATTAGGGGGAATCCAGTGACTGTTGACAGAAGACGCTGGGGTTGAAACGTCTGTGTGAGTTCGGGAAGCCAGATGCAGTGCGAACAGCTGTCTTCCGGCCGGTTCAGCAGGTGAACTCGCACCCCAAGCCCTCTTGGTTCAGACATTGTCTCCTTTTCCTCGAGGCTGTGGCTAATCCTCTCTTTGCTGGTGACTGCTGTTACCAGAGATGACGAGGGATAAAAGAGCCAGGTATTAAAGTTTGCGATCCGAGGCAATTTAAGCATTGAGAGTTTTAAGTCCTCCGTTTTGTCCTGGGAGGACTGCGGCCCATGGAAATGTACACACCTGTGAAAATCACAGCATGGATTTAGAAAAAAAAAAACAGGCCTACTCTCTAGGCAGAGATCTTTGGAGAGAGTTTCTGATGGGGGAACGCCCCGTGGGCGCAGGCTTGCTCTTCAGCTGGTCGGGAATCAGGCTGCCCACTCGTGTGCCCTTCGAAGTGCCAGCCGGGACGTGACGCGTTGACGGGACTGGATTTGTACCGTACGTTTTGTGAATAACCGAATCATCTGCTTCCGGGGTAAGGGGAAGAGGAGAGGTCCCCTAAGGTGAATCTGGGGTCTCGGGAGCACAGATTCCAGAAGTTTCTAGTGGAGACCTTGGGATTTGCAGCTCGAGGAACCTCAGCACTTTCACTCTGCAGCTTCGAAGCTCAGCTCCCCAATGAAGCTGCTGCCTGCGGCCGTGTTCTATGACGCACAGACGTAACGCTGATGCGCGTGCCCACCTTGGGAGGGATTTTGTGCAAGTTTCCCAGGTGATTTAACAGCCAGGCCTGGAGACTGGAGAAAGGGATTCCGTCCCATCCATCTTTTGGTTCCTACTCCCTCTTTCTTCCAAATACTTCATGTTTCAATTTGGTGTTTCAGAACCTAGTTAAATACATCAGGAGAGCTTAATGGAAAATCAAAATCAAATTAAATAAATGGGCTAACTGTTCAGCTGCTAAATTTTACTCCAGCCATTACCGGGCTAGGAAAAACCACAGGGCAATTTATAACTGACCTGTCTGCTCGGGGAGAGACTTCCAGATGGGCCGTCCCCTCCTGGGCATACTCAGCCCCTCTCAAATGACACACGGAGAAAACAGCTGTTCGTGGACAGAAACACAGGAACAGTTCACACTGCCAGTGCAAATCCATACCAAACAGGCGTCCTGCTCAGCTCAGAGAGAAGTGGGGCAGCTGGCAGTGGAGACTTCATTGCAAATCCTAACAGTTCTTTACCAAGTTTAATGCTCAGGAGGGAGGTAAGGGCCTTAAAGCGGAGAGCATGTGACATACTATTGAGGAAAACAGGAGAATCGAGAGTGAAGAAGCTGTGTATCCCTGAGTCCACCCTTCTCTTCGGGGTCCAAGGCTCACAAACACCGCTCGAACCCTTTGTGACACCACCTGGATTACCAGCCGTGCTGTTACTCCACCCTGCTCCACCACTGCCAGACCGAAGTTGCTGGAAAGGCAATTTATCCTCTTTCCTTAAAACTCTTGTCTTGAGCTTGCTTCCCTGATGCAGCTTCTCTTTTTTAAAAAAGACTTACTTTTTTTTTTTTTTTTTGACAGGAAGAGTGGACAGTGAGAGAGAGAGAGACAGAGAGAAAGGTCTTTCTTTTGCCGTTGGTTCACCCTCCAATGGCCACTGCGGCCGGTGCGCTGCAGCCGGCGCACCGCGCTGATCTGATTGGCAGGAGCCACGTACTTCTCCTGGTCTCCCATGAGGTGCAGGGCCCAAGTACTTGGGCCATCCTCCACTGCACTCCCTGGCCACAGCAGAGAGCTGGCCTGGAAGAGGGGCAACAGGGACAGAATCCGGCGCCCCGACCAGGACTAGAACCCGGTGTGCCGGCGCCACAAGGCGGAGGATTAGCCTAGTGAGCCGCGGCGCCAGCCAAGACTTACTTATTTATTTGAAAAGTAGAATTACAGAGAGAGAAGGCGAGACAGAGCTTCCATGTACTGTCTCACTCCCCATAATGCTGCAATGGCCAGGGCTGATCCAGACCAAAACCAGGAGCTTCATCTGGGTCTCCCACTGGGTGGCAGGGGCCCAAGCACATGGGCCATCTTCTGCTGCTTTCTCAGGTGCATTTGCAGGGAGCAGGATTGGAAGTGGGGCAGCCGGGACTTGAACTTGGCACCTACATGTGATGTCAGCTTTGCAGGCGGAGGCTTAACTTGCTACACCACAACCCCGGCTCCACATCTTCTCTTTCTTTACATGATATGGTAAAGGCAGTCCTAGTTGGTGGTGTATCGGGCAGGTCTTACTGCAGTAACAAATGATCCCAGATATTAAGAACTTAGGAAAACAAGCATTAATTTCTCAGCCATGGGACTGTAGGTCAACTGTGGCTTGACTGTGTCTTGCCTGAACTTGCTGGTCTCCACTGGGCTTGACCAGGCTTTGTTCCAGATTTTGGGTCAGGTTCAAGGTTGACCCAGTGCCTTTCATTCCCAGACCTGGAGGAGCAGTGGCTTCCTAGGGCATCTTATTCTCAGGGAGAGGGGCAGGAGTGAAAGACAGGAAGTAAAAAGACACAAAGCCTCTGGGAGTCTCTTCCTGTCCTGGAAAGCTGCCACAAGAGCCGCATCTCACTGGCTGGAGCATGTCATACGGCCAAGCCCAAAGTTATGGGATCGGGAACACCAGGGGCTCGTGGAAAATGCATATTATGAAAATGCTATGCATGGGTTTCGAGAAATTTTTTGCACCAAAATAGAACACCTTTGAATTCTTTTTCCCGTGAACTTTTTGCAGTATCCTCATTTACTCCACCTTTGGGTGTCTGCCAGGAGCGTGTAATCCACTCTAGTTGGGAAGGGGTCCTGGATAGGGACCTCTCCACTGTCCTCATAAAGAAAAGTGAAGTAGTTCTCCAACTTGCAGCACGCTAGGGGTGCCCTGCCCTACTTTTCACCCCTCAAGGTCATTGCCTCAACTGCTCTGGGGAAGGAAGGCAGGCAGAAATATAACTGGTCCACAGTCATCAAGGCAATACTTGGAGATATTGCTGCCTTCTGCACACTTTATATATGTTCATGCATTGGGGACTCATTTCACATGGCAAAAAAAATGCACCATTTTTTAAGATGTATTTTTTATTTATTTGAAAGGCAGAGTTACAGAGAGAGAAAGAGAGAGGGAGAGAATGAGAGATCTTTCATCCACTGGTTCACTCTCCAAATGGCTGTGACTGGGTTAGGCCAAAGCCAGGAACCAGGAGCTTCATCCTGGTCTCCCTCATGGGTGCAGGGACCCGAGTACTTGGGCCGTCTTCTGCTGCTTTTCCAAGCACATTAGCGGGAGCTGGATCTGAAGTGGAGCTGCCGGGACTTGAACCTGTGCCCTTATGGGATGCTGGCACTGCAGGTGGAGGCTTAACCTTCTATGCCCCATTGCCAGCCCCAAAATGTAACCTTTAAAGAGGGTACCTCATTTTGATTTCAGCATCTGTTTAGTTTGGTTACTTTGTTTCCAGGGAGATCTAATCTGTCCCTGCAGGGGTGGGGGTGGTGGAGGGTTATCACCTGTCCATGCTGGCCTGTGTGGCCTTGTTCCAGGTCACCAGTGTGTAGAGCGCTTCCTCATCCTGATGGGTCTGGCTCCTGTCAACCACTCTTTTACCCTTCCTGGGAGCCTGGAAAATATCCAGCTGTGCCAGCCCCGCCCCTCCATGCTGGGAGCTGCCAGTCACTTCTGCTCGGCTGCTCCCCACCATCCCGGGCTCAGGGGACTTTGACAGCACATGCTCTTGGGGTCTCCAACAGTCATCTTCCCTCCTGGGGCTTGGGCCAAAACGGGGTAGGAAGGGGCAGCAGGCATGGATTTTTCCAGAAACACAATGCAACGACTACCTCTCTTGACTTTTATCAGTCTTTTCTCTCAGCCTGACTTAGCTTTATAGGAACTCCCCGAATGTATAGTCAAGGGCATAATCTTACGTGCTGGGTCCTCACCTGGGCACAGGTGAAGATGTTCACTCTGAGGCAGATGGAGACAGGTTTCAAAGTTGACTAAGTGAGGAAGTGGGAAAGGAGGATTGGTTGCACTGAAAAGTGGACAGCCCCTCCGTTGTCTCGGCTAGCTCTGCAGAAAGGTAACTTGTGGTTGGATTAAATGAGAGCAGAGTGGAGACAGTCTTGGTTTGGACTGGGTGGCTTCTGTCATTGGCAGTTCTGGAGGCTGAGAACTGCAAGGTGTAAGCATCAGCAGATTCCGTGTTGGGGAAGGTCCGTCTCCCTGTGTCCTCGCCTGGGGGGAGGGCGAGAGAGCTCTTTGGACTCTTTGAAGGGCACCCGTCCCACTCACGAGGGCTCCACACTTATGACCTTATCACTTCCCCCAGACCTACCTCCCAGTGCATATCAATATGTAGATTTTTGGTAGGGAGCCACTGACTTCAGCTCCTCCTAGGGACCTTCTGCCTCTCAACCCCAGTATAAAGATTGCAGTAACTTCTGGGGGAATAAATCAAACAGAAAGTCTAACTCAGCGTCTTCAGTCAGACGCTGGGGAGACTGAGCACCTGCGGCTCTCGTTGGGTCTGCAGAACACAGTTCAGGTGGAGAGCACCTCAGGCAGCTCCGCCCCCCAGCACAGCTGCATCCCATAGATCCACGATGGCAAAGGAGCAACGCCGACCTCACCGAGGCCGCCCGTCTTCCACCTGCGAGATGGTCTGCAGTGTGCGTGGGCGGACAGTGTGCTTACACTCGGTGCCATCCTTCAGTGTTTGCAAATGACACATCATGGAAAGAGTCGTTCTGTTGTCCGTGGTCCTGCTCTTAGTGATGTCTTCCTGTTTTAGGGATTTTACTCTACTGCTGGGCACTGGGGAGTACACACATGCACACACACCCACACACGCCCAGTGATTGTCTACACAGATGACTGACTTGGGTAAGACATCACGCTGTCCTTATTCTCTGAGAACCGCAAACCTTTTCCTCGCTCTTGGTTTCTCTCTCACTTGTTGCTTGTTGTGGTGGCATGGCCAAATGGTGTTCTTGCAGATGTTATCACCTGGATTAGAGCAGAGGAAATCAGAAAAAAAAATCTTTTTGTAAAACTATTGACATTTCTTCAACCCCCACACCTTTAGAAAGAAGTTGGCGATGAGAACATTTCCTGATGTGTGACTCTCTGTTAGCTTCTCTGGATTCTGTTCCCTCTATCCTTACAGTGGGGATGGTGGGATATGTATTGGGGTGAAAATAACCCCACTTGTGTTCAAATGCCCGAGTAGGAAACTCGCTGGACAGAAGCATACCAAGGTATTGGGGGTGGTTATCTCTGCATTGTGAGATTGTAGACAAATTTAGATTTCTTCTATGTAGTCACCCAATTTGATCTCTCCTCTTTTTTTTTTTTATTAAACTCCAAACAGCAATTTTTTTCTTTGTTCCCCAAATCACATTCATCCTCAAAGGACAAAGATTTGTTGCCTTTAGTAATTTAAAAAAAAAAATAATGTGTAGCAGGATTCAAAGAAAATCTCAAGCAAGATTCCCCACACAATTCTGAGCACTGGTAACTTCCTGGAATAGACGGCAAAGGTGACAGGCATCACTCTGATGTATAATTCCTGGCACATCACAAAACTGGTCATATGCCCATGGCGGGGGGTGGGGGGGGGAGGGCTGGCTTATTTCGTTCTTTTTTTTTTTTTTTTTTTTTTGACAGGCAGAGTGGACAATGAGAGAGAGAGAGACAGAGAGAAAGGTCTTCCTTTGCCGTTGGTTCACCCTCCAATGGCCGCCGCACCACGCTGATCCGATGGCAGGAGCCAGGTGCTTCTCCTGGTCTCCCATGGGGTACAGGGCCCAAGCACCTGGGCCATCCTCCACTGCACTCCCGGGCCACAGCAGAGAGCTGGCCTGGAAGAGGGGCAACCGGGACAGAATCCGGCGCCCCAACCGGGACTAGAACCCGGTGTGCCGGCGCTGCTAGGCGGAGGATTAGCCTAGTGAGCCGCGGCGCCGGCCCTACTTCGTTCTTTTTTAAAACTCCAGATCGATGTACCATGTGGGTGTATTAGTGTGACCAGTCACCTGGAAAGTTCCCGTATACGAAAAGGAAATGTGTATCTTAAAAAAAAAAGTTTAGTTCATTGAATGCTTTAATATAAAACAAATCTTCCTGCTTACATAAATAAAAAGAGGAACTACACTGAGTCTGAAACTAAACCATGGAAAAATAAAGTGATTCTGAAGAATTTTCTCTGGTTTCAAATATAGAATATGAAAATCAAAGTGATTCATTGTCATACAAATATATATTTTATTAATAAGAAAGAAACATATAAAACTGTCAAACTGGGAGTGAATGTTCGCTCTACATAAGATTTCACTTCATAGGCCCTTTAATTAGGTAGCTTCTTCAGTTCAAAATTATTTTTCGTTTTTGAAGATTTATTTATTCGAAAGGCAGGGTGATGGAGAGGGAGAGGAGAGAGAGGATCTTCCATCTAGTACTTTACTCCCCAAATGCCCACAACAGCCAAGACTGGACCAGGCCAAAGCCAGGAGCTGGGATTGCCATCCTGGTCTCCCAGGTGAATGTCAGGGCCCTGAGTACTTGAACCATCACCTAATGCCTTCCCTCATGCCTTAGCAGGAAGCTGGCTTGGAGGCAGAGCAGCCAGGATTCCAATAGGCACTCCAATATGGGATGCCAGAGTCTTGCGTGGTGGCTTTGCCACTAAGCCAGAACACCAGCCCTGCAATTATTTCTATTAGCGTATTCTGGATGGAAAAAGACATTTTTATAGTCAATATCCTCATGAAATTAATAACTGATTATTTATCAAAAGCACATGATATTGAATAGCAACAGATTAGAAATCTGATTGAGGCCGGCGCCGCGGCTCACTAGGCTAATCCTCCGCCTGCAGCGCCGACACACGGGTTCTAGTCCTTGTCGGGGCACCAGATTCTGTCCCGGTTGCCCCTCTTCCAGGCCAGCTCTCTGCTGTGGCCCGGGAGTGCAGTGGAGGATGGCCCAAGTGCTTGGGCCCTGCACCCCATGGGAGACCAGGAGAAGCACCTGGTTCCTGCCATTGGATCAGCGCGGTGCGCTGGCCACAGCGCGCCAGCCATGGCGGCCATTGGAGGGTGACCCAACGGAAAAGGAAGACCTTTGTCTCTCTCTCTCACTGTCCACTCTGCCTGTCAAAAAAAATAATAAAAAAAAAGAAATCTGATTGACAGACCTTGATGACGTTTGCCTTCCCAGTGGACATTTCGTAAGTATGTGAGTGCCTCCCACATCTGCTGTGCCCTTGGCTTTCTGCTGGCTCTGTGAACACAATGACAGTGTGTTTCCAGCAACAAAGTGGAAGTCTTATTCTGGCAAAGACAGGAGATAGCCGTACAGAGTATTTGTAGTTGGAGTGTTTTATTGCCTGTCCTGAACTCATATAGTCTCTGTTCTCAATGACGTCATAGTCTTGTTGATAAGTGTTCAAATAGGCAAATATTTAAAAATATATCAAGCCGATTCCTACAGAGGATTATGTTGAATATGAACAGGTGCCAGAATACAGGGCACAGAAAACAGGTTCTAGATGATCAAGTTAGGGGAGGACTGGACTAACCAGGGAAACTGCCAAGAAAGAAGTAGTTTTGAGGGTTATCCATGCAAGGATGGCGCTTTTTTCTGGCTATAGTCTGGATTAGACCTTATGTTGATGATTTTATTAGTCATCTATGAATGCAATAATATCGCTTAACAAAATACCCCTCCCCCGAAATCTCAGTGTCTTGCTTCACAAACGTTTATTTTTCTTGTTCCTAGGCCAGTGGGCTGGCTGGGATACAGCTGACCTTAGCCAGGCCCAGCTGAGTACGATTCCAAGCTACAAGTCTACACTGGGCCCACTTCGCAGATTTCGCTGTGGGGTTGGCACTGGCCGGGGCAGGGTCTTTTCATGGGGACCGTACAAGCACAAGAGGCCAAGTCAAATCATGCAAGCACATCTGAGCTTCTGTAACACAGTTTTCACTAAACCTGTCTCTCAAAGCAAGTCACATGGCCAAGCCACGCGCCAACGGGGTGAGGAGAAACACTACACCAGTTCTAGCGAGAGCTACCGCACAGTCCCGTGGCAAAGTCCATGAATGGGCCCTTGTGTAAGGTTGGTGGGGGGGAGTATAGTTCAGTTCCATATTTGAGAAAATCATGGAGAAGTTGCCATCGGTATGGATAGGAATCCCTTGTAACACAGGAACGCAGTGAGGAATTCTGGGATCTATACTCGTGTTTTCTGGCCTGTTGATAGCTCCTAACAATGTCTTGAAGAGACGGGAAGTTTGTTAAGTGGATCCACGCTGGCTGATTGGCCTTCCTGGATGGAAAATTAGTAATAGACTGAAGTTAACTAGGCTGAGAGCTTGGGTCAGAAGCAAATCCACTCTGGGAGATTAAACGCAGGCAGCAGGTAGGGGACCAACTCTGGGTCTTCAAGAGTGAGGGAGAGAGAGCCACGGGGAGCCGGAGCTGCCTTGCTCCCGGCGCCTGCACAGGCGAATGTTTCGGGTATTTTTCGGTTCTGTTTCTCTGATGTCGGTGTCACTTCCCCCGGCCAGAGCCCCAGCTGTGGCTCGGCGTCACAGTGCCGCAAGTGCCAGGACCCGTGACGGCCTCTGCAAGTTCTGCTTTTGGTTTCTCTGGCGGGGGTGTGCGGGGGCGGAGAGAAAGGCCAGGGTCTGCTCTGGGGCTGTGATCCCTGGGTGTCTACCGGAGACCGAGACGTGCTCCGGAAGCCTGGTCGTCTGCCCCGGGCCGTGTGCCTGCGGCACTGAGCGTGGCCTTGCGTGTGAGTTGGGGGCGGAAAGAGGCCACAGACACCTGACTTGTGTGCACTGGACCCCACACAAAGCCAGCTTCCGCTCTCAGGGTTCCCATGCAGATCGCAGGACCCTCGGAGTCATCTGGGGCGGGGGCAGGGAGGAACTACAGCACTGTGCAAGCCGCAGGCGCCCCAGACCACGAGAACACGCCAAGTGGGGCGCGCCGCCCAGCACGAGTGTTTAACAAAGAGCTACTCCCACTATGTGGAAGCAAGCAGATGACTTTTCCCCCTGTCTGGTGGTGTAGACACTGCTAGCCTCAGGCCATGCTGGCGAGAGCAGGTTGAGGCCCTGACCTGATAAAGAGGAATCCTCAGATGCCCCCAGCTCAGGACGGTCAGTTAAAAAATCCTTACCAAACAATATTTGTCAACAGCCACCCTCACCCGGCCCGGGCATCGCTGTGGAGGTGCCAGGCATTCCTAGCTGCCTCCTCATCCCCCACTCCAGACACGCTTGGGCCCCATCTGGCCTGAAACTGGCTCCAGGGAGGAGGCAGCATTTTATCCACTGTGGTGAACTCCACCGGGTTCAGCATTACACAGAGGTGGGGCACGCCCAGGCAGGGGCCGCACAAGGCCCGCAAAACCAGCCCTTGTGGCCCTGCCCCGGCAGCTGCAGGTGGGACTCAAAATTCAGTCTACAGCAGGCTAATGCTTAAGTGGGTAACTTTGTATGGCCTGTGAATGACGTCATAAACACACAAAGGCTCTTGGCAGGAAAGGGCTCCCCACTCCTGACCATAACGGATTGCAACACTGTCTAAACACATCTCAGATCACCCTATTCCGGTGCACCTCCACCGTCCACATCAGCTTAGGCACTTCACTGATTTTCACAACATGAGCTAACAATTAGCATGTGGTATCTTATGTCACCTGATGCTGTGAGAGGAACTCCATTCCTGTAGCTGAGTTGGAGATCTAGGACTACGTGTGGGATGGGCTGTGTCAGGAACATTGGATCATCCAGGTGTGTGTCTGGGTGTGGCTGAGATTGTACTAAACTTTGATAGTTCTCCCACCTGATTTACTGAGAACTTGTGTTTCCTCTGTCACAGCATGAAACCAGATTCAAGGGGAACGTGCCCATGTTTTAAGACTAACCTTGGGGGCCAGTGCTATGGCGCAGCGGGTTAACACCCTGGCCTGAAGCGCCGGCATCCCATATGGGTGCCGGTTCAAGACCCAGCTGCTCCACTTGTGATCCAGCTCCCTGCTATGGCCTGGGAAAGCAGTAGAAGATGGCCCAAGTCCTTGGGCCCCTGCACCCATATGGGAGACCCGGAAGAAGCTCCTGGCTCCTGGCTTCGGATTGGCACAACTCCGGCTGTTGTGGCCAACTGGGGAGTGAACCATCAGATGGAAGACCTCTCTCTGCCTCTCCTCTCTTTGTGTAGCTCTGACTTTCAAATAAATAAATAAATCTTAAAAAAAAAATAAGACTAACCTTAGCTTCTTGTGGGGTCCACATGGGAACTCAGCAGAATTTCACCAGCTTTTAACAAATTATTTGAAAGGCACAGTGAGAGGCAAGAAGAGACAGAAAGGGAGAGAGGGGGATCTTCCATCTTCTGGTTCACTCCCCAAATGACTGCAACAGCCAGGTCAGGGCCAGGCTGAAGCCCAGAGCCTGGAACTCTATCCTGGTGTCCCACATGGGTGGCGAGAGTCTAAGTACGTGGGCTATCTTCCACTGACTTTCCAGGCACATTCCTGGGAAACGGGATGAAAGTGGAAGAGCTAGGACTTGAGCCAGCTCTTCAATAAGGGATGCTGGCCTTGCAAGTGGCGGCTTTGCCTACCATGCCACGATGCTAGTCCTCGTCACCCGGCTTTTGCCAAAGCCCACATGGGTTCCTGTCCTTCAGTGTTCAGCCTGGGCAGCTGCACCTGTTCACACGGTCAAGAGGCGCTGTCAGCCATGGCCTTAGTGTTGGCCCTGACCTGGCCTCGAGTCGACAGTGACACTAGTTTCCCTGGCGGATACCTGGGGGCTGGGATTTTTACCTTGGAATATTTTTTCCCCCTTTGTCTCTAATGCTTACCATTAATCCACCTGCCAATCACTTACACTACCCCTGTCTGGGTAGGTATCCTAGGTTTTATATATCAGCCAACAGAACTGGAGTTTAAGTTCTCATTTCTTCTTTGATCATGGACTTTCAGTAGGATTTTGAGTTGTGCCTCTGTACCTAGAGGCCACTAGGTCATGTACTAGTGGAGCTGGGAGCAGAATGGGGAGTGGGGCAGGAATATCCCAGGCTTCTCAGCTAATCCTTTGTTTCCTGCTTTGGACAACACACCTGCACAGAGCCATAGTTCCCCACCAAGAGACACGTGGTGGCACGATCCTCAATGGCCACTGGAATCTATGACTGGGGTTTTCAGCTGCCCTGGGGGCAGGAGAATGAGCCACGGCGCCTGCTGCAAGTATTTTTTATTTTTAAGAGAAGTCAGCCATGGCTGGTGCGGAGGCTCACTAGGCTAATCCTCCGCCTTGCGGCGCCGGCACACCGGGTTCTAGTCCCAGTCGGGGCGCCGGATTCTGTCCCGGTTGCCCCTCTTCCAGGCCAGCTCTCTGCTGTGGCCCGGGAGTGCAGTGGAGGATGGCCCGGGTGCTTGGGCCCTGCACCCCGTGGGAGACCAGGAGAAGCACCTGGCTCCTGCCATCGGATCAGCGCGGTGCGCCGGCCGCAGCGCGCCTGCCGCGGCGGCCATTGGAGGATGAACCAACGGCAAGGGAAGTGGTGGATTCCTGTCTCTCTCTCTCACTGTCCACTCTGCCTGTCAAAAAAAAAAAAAAAAAAAAAAAAAAGAGAGAGAGAGAGAGAGAAGTCAGCCTTCTGGATTTTTAGGTGAGCTATCTCAGTTTTGAAACATTAGCTGGTTCATTTAAAAAAAAAAAAATCTGTGATGGGTGATTAAAATAGCCCGTGGACATTCAGTTCTGGCTAAAAAGTCCATGAGAGTATTTCAGGCATGGAAAGCCAAGACACTGTGGCAAAAATAAAAAAATGACCTAAATGAAAGATCTCTGTGAGTGAGATCCCAGTGGAAAGAACGGGCCATCAAAGAAGGAGGTGCTTTCCCCTTTGACTATGGCCTTGTCTAAACAAGGTCGGAGTTTGTGAACTCAAGAGGCTTCCATAGCCTTGGCAGCTCATGACAAGAGCCTCGGGTGATTACTGATGTGTGGGGAGCAACTGGGACTAGACTAAGTTACTGGAATTAAGACTTATTCTATGCATCTGCTCTCCCACAATATGGCGCTGAGAAGGGAGTAGCAGCTTCTACGCAGCTGCCTCTCGCCAATTTGATTGACTGAGCTGCAGGAGCTGATCTTGCTCCTGATTGGAGGAGAGCAGCATACTCGGCGTGTGGGTAGCAGAGTTGGGATTGGTGGAAGAGGACTATAAAGGAGGAGAGAGACAACATGCACCAGGAACATCTAAGGGGAACATCTATCTGAAGGAACACCTGTGCAGCCCCCGAGAGAGCCGGCCGGTGGTGTGCCGCTCCCCTGCGGAAGTGGGGAAAGTGGCAGGGGGAACCGCCCTTCCACGGAGGTGGAAGGGTCGGCAGCCAACCCGGGAAGAACCAGCAGCAAACCTGGGGAGGGCCAAGCAGACGAAAGGACAACGCAGAATCTTGTGTCGTTCCTCCACGAAGACGGGGAGCGACACTGATGCAATAAACAAGAGTGTCGATTGTTAAATCAACAACAGGAGTCACTGTGCACTTACTCCCCATGTAGGATCTCTGTCCTTAATGTGTTGTACTATGTCAATTAATGCTATAACTAGTACTCAAACAGTACTTTATACTTTGTGTGTCTTTGTGGGTACAGTCTGTTGAAATCTTTACTTAATATATACTAAATTGATCTTCTGTATATAAAGATAATTGAAAATGAATCTTGATGTGAATGGGATGGGAGAGGGAGTGGGAGATGGGATGGTTGCGGGTGGGCAGGAGGTTATGGGGGAAAAGCCCCTATAATTCAAAAGTTGTACTTTGGAAATTTAAATTTATTAAATAAAAGTTAAAAATGAGAAAAAATTAAAATAACAAAAAAAAAAACACAAAAAAAGAGAGAGAGAGAGAGAGAAATAGCCCGTGGAGGAGTAGACATTGTGGCACAGTGGATGAAATAGTCCCTGGAGATTCCCCCGTCCCATATCAGACTGCCGGTTTGAGTCTTCGCTTCTCTGCTGATGCAGCTCCCTGCTAATGCACCTGGGAAAGCAGTGGAGAAAGGCTCAAGTGCTTGGTCCACTGCCATCCATGTAGGAGACGAGGGAGGAGTTCCTGGCTTCTGGCTTTGGTCTGGCCCAGCCCCTGATGTTGTGGCCATCTGGGGAGTGAACCAGTGGATGGAAGATACCTCTCTCTCTCTTTTTCTCTCTTGCTCACTCGCTCACTCTGCCTTTCAAATAAATGAATACATCTTAAATAAAAGTAGTCTATAGATGTTGTTGAGGCCTGTGGGCAGCTGAGTGGAGGACTTTCCCTTGCAGAGGTGTCTCTTAAGTGTTGGTTCTTTGATTCCTGTGAGCACTGTTATTACCCTCCCTTAACATGAAGGAGGGCCCCTGTCCACACCAGTGGCAGGAAGGATCCGGGTCCAGACCTACATCTTCCGACTCTACGTCCGTGAATCCAGCTGCCACGTGAGTGATTCCTAGCTGCCGAGTTTCTCAAGGCGTAGCCCAACATTCTTATGGAATGCCAGGAAGTTCACTGGACTCTCATCAACCCTGGGTCTCCAAGACCTCAGATGTCTGTGAGCCCAGAGAAGTCACAGCGCTGTCCAGTGGAGAAGTGCACCTCACGGGGCTGCAACCCTGGTGGCCGCACACGAGAAGGTCCAGAACATCTCCGGATCGGCTCCCTGTATGCAGCCAGGGGCAGGTGGATCTGCACCGCTAGAGGAGGTGTGGGGCACGTTAGGTGAGGGGGACGGAGGCCTGGTGTCTCTGTGTTTTATGCTGGAATAACCGTAGACTGGGTAATTCGTGATAAGCACACATTTATCTGGCTCATAGCCCTGGCAGCTGGGAAGTCTAAGAGCTTGACGCCGACACATGGTGCCTCATCTCATGGAAGAAGACAGAAGCGCACGAGAGCAGGCGATCAAGAGCAAAGGGGGTGGACCCATCCTTTGTATCAGGGAGCCACTCTTGAAACAGCAGCCTAAGTACACCCAC